CGTGCAGACAGAACAGAAGGGCAGCCCTTACCTCAGACAGCTGACAGTCTAAGGGTAAGACAAGAGACCACCAGCTGGATCCAGATAGTGGGGGACCATGACCACCAGTGGTCTCCGAGGCCTCGTGGCAAAGCCCGGCCCCTGCAGCGTTGGACTCGTTTTCCTTAACCACCCCACTCCCTTTCCTGGCTCTGCACTTGATTTGCATAAACGGCAAAGGGGGAATGTGTGTTGTTTTGACCCAGGGTCAGTTAGTCAATGTGGCTTTGATTTCAGCAAGCCCTTCCCATCAGGGCGGGAGGAGGGCTGGGCTGGGCTGCCAGCGCTGGCAGCCCACCCTTGAGGACTCATTACCCCCCTTAACCCTTTGAGTGCTAGGTGGGGAGGGGATGATGCCGGAGACACACCCATCCCTGCACCCTGTGCTGAGACCCCTCCTTATTTTCCTCCCTCCACCCTGGCTCTGCTGACTCAATGCTTGCTCTTGCCCACCGTGAGCAGGGTCCGGATCCCAGAAGAGGGAGGGGTTGGAATTGGGTAGCAGGAGGGGAAGGTTTCTGGGATTATGAGTCGTGTGGGGAGGGAATTTAGGGAGGGCTTTTGGCATTAGTGAAGACTGAGACTAGCAGGATGGGCTCCTGCTCTCTGGCTTTACTCCCTCCAGCCTGTGGGACTCCCAGATGTGACTTTTGTTGAGCAATGGAGGCAGCTGGAGGGGAAGTGAGAGAACCCACAGGAAAGCCAATGAGATTTTCCTGTCCTGGGGCTGCCCCCAACACCCTGGCTTCCGCTGACGCTTAGAACTGAGACTCTGACCTTCCAGGGTTGCCACGTATCCCCTGGTCCTTGGGAGTCGGGGCCTAAATCCCAGAGGCCTGGCCAAATCCCAGCTGGGGGGGAGGTGTTCCTTGATTCTGAAATGGTGCCCCCTTGCAGCCCACCACCCTGCTGTTTTCCCTTCCCCTCATGTCCTAAGCTAGAGAATGGTGTCCTGTTGCGGCTGTGTTCCTCCCCAGAGGCAGCTGCATTTCAGTGAGCGACTGATCTAATTCCTCTCTGTGGCTTGTAAAAGTTGGCGTGCTCTGAGATGCCTGGCAGGGCTCTTCACACAGGGGGCCTGCACTGAAAGAGAGGGCGGGAGCCAGACTTTGGGGTGGAGGAGGACAAAGAGACAGCCAGGCCAGCCCATCCGCATATCAGCCGCCTCTTCAACCTATTGCCTCTGGCCTGTGGTCGGACTAGTTCGGTCACAGCCCTTAGGCCGTCACCTCTTGATAAGTGCTTTTGAAACTGGCTTCCCTAGCCAGGTAAGTATTTGATTGTGGTGAGCTGGGTGAGAAGTCACAAGAAGTGGAGGAGATTGGACCTGCTGGGCAGGGGATCTGGTGCTGCTGGGTGGCTGGAGTAGACTTCTCTGAGCTCCCGTTACCTCTTCCTTTGCCCTGGCAAAGAGCGGCCCCTGTGTTGACCATGAGCTACCTACGTCCCAGCTCTCAAATCTAAACAGAGTGGTAGGAGGCTGGGACTGGCTGCAGACAGGGAACATCTCTGGCTGCGCCGGTGTTGGCGAGGGGGGTGGCAGAACGGGATGTCCTCGGCCTCGTGAGGAGCTGCCAATGGGATGTGTCCTGTGGCCAGAGCAGCGGTTAAAAGGTTAAGCCGAGCAGGGCTTTGGCCGAGAGGCCCATCGCTGCCTCTTGAGATTGTGAAATCGCAGTGGGAGTGACCCAGAAGTCAGGCCGGGTACCCACAATGCACAGCTCTCCCTTCTCCTGGCTCTGCTCCTAACCCAATTCCCGAGCCACGGGCCATTCTGCTGAGCCTTTCCCACTTGTTGCCAAATACCCAACGTGACGTTTTAGCTCTTTAACAAACGAGCCTCAGCCCCGCAAAGCAATTAACCAGGCCTGGGGTTGGGTGACAAGGCCTGGGGCCGGCCCTGCATAACATGCTCCTTTGCCCCACAGCACAACCAGAGGGGGCTCTGTGCCGCTGGAGCGGGGGAGCTGCCCTGGTTCTTTCCTCAGCAACCTGGGCGGAGGAGGGGGGGCTCTGAGATG